CCCCAGGGATAAGTCATTTCAGATGACCTTTGGCTATTACAGATGGTGAGCTATAAGGTGGGCTTGAGGTGGAGAGATCTCACTTGCCTGGCTGGATAGAAAGTGATCCAGAGGAAGCGTGGAATGGACTCTAACAGCTAGAATGTAATTAGGTGTGCAGGTATTTGTAGATAGCTGGGGCATGGGGAGAAAGTAGGGAGAAGGGCCTTGTAAAGCATTTCTCAAGGGTTTTAGGCTTGTGAGCCTCTCCAGTGGGTTTCATCTCCATATCATAATTGTGAGATTTGGGGTTTCATTATCTTCTTGTCTGGTTAAAACACAATGGTGGAATCGGGTTAACCTGATCTCAGGTCTTTATTTCAAATTGCATTGTGTGTTATTTCCATGGTGTTACTGCAATGGATGGGATTTTTATGGTGGTTCAAGTGAATGGAGTACCTGAGACCAATCTTTCTGGGAAATGAATCTTGCTTACCCATTTCCAGCAGTCTTCACCTTGTTGGGGAGGCAGTCTCCGGTTTTTTTCTGTTACATGCTGCTTTTCTCCTATGATTTTTTTCCTTTTTCTTGGTAGACATGCGTCGGGATGTCCAGGAAATTTTTCGCATGACCCCCCATGAGAAGCAGGTCATGATGTTCAGTGCTACCTTGAGCAAAGAGATCCGTCCCGTCTGCCGCAAGTTCATGCAAGACGTAAATACCCTTCTACCTTCTCTCCCTCCACTCCCTGCCCACTGCCTCCTCCCCTTCCGCACCCTCTTCCTCCAGACTCCCTTGTCCTTCAAGTGCCAAGAAGCGGGCACGTGCCCATCTGGGAGTGATGACTCCTTGAAGAGACACACAGAGGCAGAGACAGCTAGTGTTAGGGTCTGCGCGGGCGCCAGGGAAACTCCGGAAGACTTGGTCGGGTTAACTTGAGAGCGGGTAGTGTTCGACCTTTTTTTTTTTTCCCCCTCATCACAGCATTTTTGAACCTCTTCTTCCTTTTTGGGGGAGGGCAGAATTTTCTGCCCTACCACCCACCCATCGTCTCCTACATACCCCTTTACAGCCACACACCCTCAAGGTGGCATCGAGCAGACAGTTGGAGCCTTCTGCTCCCCAAAACTCATAACCTTCCGGTGGCAGGAGAGCAAGAGAGGGACAGACAGATGGCAGGGCATGTCCAAAAGAAGAGCAAACAGCACAAATGAATCCGCTCCCTCCCCACCTCCAGGGGTGGGGGCCTTTGGCACCTCAGTCCCCAGTCCCTTACTCCTTCCCGTCCATACCTCCTCGCACCCATCTGGAATCTCGGTTGATGTGAGCCGGCAGCGGAGAAGCACCGTGGAGCGGCGGGGGAAATGCGGACGGCACCCAGCGGTGGATGGCGGCAGCGGAGGCCGCGGGGAAACCTGACCAGGAAGCTGAGGACCAAACCAGCCTCTTTTTCCGTTCCCGGTTTTTTTCCTGAATCCAAGGCGTGCCGTGCTCCCCGTTTCCCCCCATATGTGTTGGGGGGAGGGGTGTCCTGAAAGGGGGGGTAGATTTTTTTTTTCTTTTTTAAAACAATTTTTTAATACTCAAAAGGAGAGGGATATGGGAAAGGTAAAGTGAGGAGCTCCACTTGGATATAACCAGGTGGGTGTTAGGGTTTGGGGCTAGAGGGGGCCTGTTGTATAAACAGTGCAGTGTATTCTTTCCCCATCCTGTACTGCTCTTTCCCATGGGATGTTAACTATTTTTAGCTATACTTGGGGCTAGGATTAGATTTGAAGGAGGCCATGGAACTTCTTTTTGAAAAGCCTGCCTTTGCTAGTCTGCTTTTTGGGATTGGGCTTCTGGTTTTCTCCTGTGCCACACATCCTTTCCTGAAATCTTGGACCCTGGGTGTTCATATTAATTACGTCCCCAGGTTAGTGAAGAGTGCTAGGAAACTTGGACTCAGGAGTTGAGTCTTGTGTCAATTTATATTTTTTTATGCTACTTCCTCCCCTTCAAGGGTTTTGTGTGTATGCGTGTGTGTGCGTGTTTTATTTTTTTTAAGATGAATGTGTATTTGCTGCTCTGAATTTTGTTTCTTAACACCATGTATTGGTACCGTCCCTATAACACTATAGTTGGTTTGACTCTTAGTTCAGCGTCCAGTGGGTGCCATCTAAACAATTCCCTTGTGGTCTGAGGGCAAGTTGTTACTCACCTTGAGTAACTTTCGCTTCTCTTTTATGGCATTTTTGAGACCATCCATTGTAGCATTCTGATCTTAACAGATATCCACCCTCCTGATGTGGCTCTGATTCTCTTAGTGGGTTTTTTAAAAATTTTTTTAAAGATTTATTTGAGAGAGAGTGCACAAGCAGGTGGTGGGGCAGAGGGGGAGGGAGAAGCAGACTCCCCACTGAGGAGGGAGCCTGATGTGGGGCTTGATCCAAGGACCCTGAGATCATGACCTGAGCTGAAGGCATACGCTTAACCCACTGAGCCATCCGGGCGCCCCCTGATTCTCTTAGTTGAGAGAAAACTCAAATGGAGCAATCCCTGTTTTCCCCCTATGTTTTTACAACCAGCTCTGGTGGAGTTACTCTGACCTTGAGTCACCGTGTCCCACCAATTCCCAGGCGTTTGGATCACATTCTCCCTTTGGGGATCATCACCCATTGTTTTCTTTCCTCTGCCACCTCCCTTTGAGGTAATGGCATCTTGCCATTGGGTGGTCTCACTGGTCCTTTTCCTCCCTGCAAAGTTCCCTTCCCATGACAGTTTGAGGTTGGGCAGTCTTAAAACTCATCTGATAGGAAGGAAATTAGAGCTAACGTGGAAGAGACCACATTAAAATGGGGGTATTTTTGGGGGTGTGGTGGGGTTTTCAGTCTTCTCTTCTCCCCATCCCCCCATGGGGTGTATTGGAGATAAGTTCCTCCACCCCCCCAGGTTTAACCCCCCCACTCTGCCCTCCTCCCGTTCCCCACCCCCTACTCCCCCTCCCCCCCCAGCCAATGGAGATCTTCGTGGATGATGAGACGAAGCTGACGCTGCATGGGTTGCAGCAGTACTACGTGAAACTGAAGGACAACGAGAAGAACCGGAAGCTCTTTGACCTTCTCGATGTCCTTGAGTTCAATCAGGTCAGTTGTTCAAGGTCCAGTAGGGGGATGAGCACGTCTCCAACTGTAGCAGAAACCTGGTTAAGTACCCTTTTATTGAGGACATGACCTATATGATGTGAGCCTTTTAAGTGAAATTCTTTTAAATGAGAATTTAAACAGGGTGAGAGCTGCTTTTCTGTTCTATGGCTGTCACAGCCAGGTGTTTAGTAAAGAAAAAGCTCAATAAAGAGGGGATTTCATAAGCTTGGAAAAGTTCCAAAATAGCTTGGGTTTGTTAGGTTCTTAAATTTGTTTCTTCTCAAGCTATTTACCGAGAAGTGTCTCATCACCTAACCTATTGTGTGGTTTATTTGCACCAAAAATTTAAAATAAAGGTAGGTTGCTTATGTTTGTTTCTGATGAGCAGGAAATACTAGTCATGATCTTTCCAGACTTCAGTTTTACTTTTTACCACTTGCTCATTTTTACCATTAGCCTCTTTCTTGTCTCCTAACATACCTGGTAGTTTTCATTACTATTCTCTGTACCTTCTCTGCAGTAGGTCTGCTCAGGAAAAATCAGCTGAGTAAGAAAGGCTGAGTTGTATTTAGAACAGAAGAGGAATATGTGATGGAGATTAGGAGGAATTTCTTTGGAAGAGTGGAGTTACTGAACACTCTTTTCACACATAGTCTCTCACGTATCCCACATGTACCCACATCGCCTGTCACACACCCAGGTGGTGATCTTTGTGAAGTCTGTGCAGCGTTGCATTGCCTTGGCCCAGCTCCTGGTGGAGCAGAACTTCCCAGCCATTGCCATCCACCGAGGGATGCCCCAGGAGGAGAGGTGAGTCAGAGATGGAAAGATGTTTTTTGTCCTTGGGAAGGAAAAGAGACCATTGAGAGAAGGGACTCAACGTTTTTCTGATTTCACAAAGGCTTTCTCGGTATCAGCAATTTAAAGATTTTCAACGACGAATTCTTGTGGCTACCAACCTATTTGGCCGAGGCATGGATATTGAGCGGGTAAACATTGCCTTCAACTATGACATGCCTGAGGATTCCGACACCTACCTGCATCGGGTAAGCTCCACACCTACACGGGCATCCCACTGTCCGTCCCCCCCCGCCCCGATTTTCTTTGTCTTCATACCTGAGTTTCTCATCCCTCCTTTGGGTGTCTTCCTACTTTGGGGTCTTCCCAGTGCTACCCTCTGTCTCCTTCCAGGTGGCCCGAGCAGGTCGGTTTGGCACCAAGGGCTTGGCTATCACGTTTGTGTCGGATGAAAATGATGCCAAGATCCTCAATGATGTGCAGGATCGCTTTGAAGTGAATATTAGTGAGCTGCCCGATGAGATAGACATTTCCTCCTACAGTGAGTATGGCTCTCAGGAAACTGGCTTCTCAGCTCTTCAGAGTCTCCTTGTTCCCTAGTGTGTTTGTCTTGAATCTCATGTACATAAAGTCTCTGGTGCATAAGAGGCACTTGGCAAGTTCGTGTCCCCCTGATCTTGATGCCCCTGTTGGGATGCTTGGTTGATCTCTAGGTCTCTTTCTCTTGACAAACTATTTATCTTTCCCCACCCCCAACCTATCCTCTGCACCCACAAACTACAGACCTCTGCATGTATGGGGGTGGGTGGTAGTTCTGTCAGCCCTGCCTTTTTCCCTGTCTTGTCCTAATTGTGCCATGTTTTCTCTCCAGTTGAACAGACGCGGTAGAGGACTCACCCACCCATTTTGGAATGTGACGGTCTGTCTTCAGGAGATGACAGCAGGCATGGGGTGAAGGAGACACTACTGCCACCTACCCCTGACAACCCCCACCCCCACCCCATGGCTTCCCCCCTTTTGCATCACCACCACTCCTAAACCCATATTTCCTGAATTGTCTGAATTTTTTTTAACAAAACTAAAAAACGTATGCGTCTGTGTTGTCTGTAAGTGCTCCATCCCTTTATTGGATTTAGGGTGAGGTTAGGCCATGATTCAGTGTGTATTCCTATAAGGACTGTGTGCCCTTCTGTGGGGCCCAGGTCAATGGGGAGGGGTCAGAGGGGAGGGCAATGTGACTGCGAATGCAGAGGCCCTGGCTCCTTGCCGCTTCCACTTTTCTCAGTGGCCTGGGAGGGGCTGGGATGTTTCTGACCCAAAGGCCCAGTGTGAGTGTATGTAGTGTTTCCAGTGTTGGAAGGTAAAGTGGGAACTGGTGGAAAGCTTAGGCGTCTCCTAGGCTCTCTCGGTGTCTCCTCATCTGTTCCTTCAGCTTCTGGATCTTGAGCACCAGGGCCTGGGCTTCCCAAGCCCCTTCTTGCCCTTCCAGTAGGGCCTGGTACAGCTCCAGCTGCTGCTCCAGCAACTCCTCAGCTTGGGCCAGCTCAGCTGTGGGGCGGGGCCTGGGACCCTGAGGGGGCAGGGCAGAGGGGAGGGAGCATCAGCCTGGGGAAGGGGGCTGAGGCTTGCTGGAAGTCAGGCGTTCTGCTTCTCAAATTTAAACCTTTAAACCCCATTGTATTAAGGTCATCTGTACTGTGAAGCCAAGGTAGCTTCTGGTCTTAGGCGTAAGCTTCTGGGGGTAGTTTGCTGCTCAGGGGTTATGACTGGACTCCTTGTACAAGGGAGGATATGGAGAGGAGGGGACTGGCTGTCCCTCCCCCCACTAAGAAATAATTAACAGGTGGGGGGAAATTCCTGTCCAAGGACTTCATGGACTCTGCAGGGAGGGAGGGCTGTGGGGAGAGGGAGCCCTGAGGTTTAGAGAGGGGTGGGGGTGGGGAAGGTGCTGGGGATATAGGAGTTGGAACTAGGCCAAGAGCTCTGGGGGTGGGGGTGGTATCGACTTGCAGCAGGTCTGTGACACGAGATTAAAGGGATTACCCCCCCTTTCCCCCCTACAGTCTGCCCCCACTCTTGGTGCCACTTACCCTTGGGGATGACCTTATCTTCCCACTGCATGTGGAGCTGGTTGGCTCTTCTGTGCTTGCCTTGGGGCTCTGGGAACAGCACTTCCAGGAGCTCTGGGGGGCCAGGGGCCAGGAAGGCAGGAGGAGGCGACGGCAGCAACATGAGAGCCAGGGCAGAGGGAGTGCCATGGCTGGTGTAACCGCGAGCTGTCTGAACTGCCCAATGGCCACCAGGAACTGGCTCATTCCCTCCAGGCTTTGGCCTCGCTTCAGTGACTGGCCCTGCCCAGGGCCCTGCCCCTACCTTTACCTCCCTCCCAACCTGGCCCCAGAGTCTTCCTGATGCGAAAAAGTTCCTGCCAGTTGAGGCAGAACTTTTATTTTTAAAGATTTTATTTGAGAGCACAGGCAGGGGGAAGAGGGAGAAGCAGGTTCCCTGCTGAGCAGGAAGCGGGACATGGGGCTCCTTCCCAGGATCCTGGGATCATGACCTGAGCTGAAGGCAGATGCCTAACCGACGGAGGCACCCAGGTGCCCCAGGCAGAACTTGCTTTAGAACACTGGTGCCCAGCCTACGTCTTAGTGTCTCTTTTTCTTAGCGCTATGTCTTTTCTTATTTCTCAATTCTACAAGGTACAAGTTACATTGCTGGTGTGCAGGAAACTGGTTCAGAAGGGGTTCATTCAGGACTCAAGGTCCGTAGCTGGTTGGTGGAAAAACCTGGAGGATTCATGCCCAGGTCCACCTGACTTGAAAGCTCATAGCCATTGACCTGGCTCAAGTATTGATTATCAGTTTATTTCCATTTTTTTCCCCTTCTCGCTGGCCCAGAATGACATTCCTTCTTGTCTGCATTGCATGTTGTAGGGGTTTGCATTCTCTGTTAGTTCAGGGCACTGTTGTGTCATTGTACCCTTGGCTCCTGAAAAGAACGTGACACTGGTAACAGATTTCAAGCTTTGTTGAACTCGTGAGCCCTCACTTTAAATGTGTGATGTGAGTCTTGGGTACAGATGGCCTTCCTGCCGTATGTCCTGAAATGCCCTGTGGCTGGATAGCACCGCTACATGCCAGTGGCCAGAGGTGGCTCAGAGCGGGGGGATGTTCCCAGTTTGATCATCTGGGAAAAAAGACCCTCAGAAAAAGTATCTCAGAAAACAAGATGGCTGGAGAGTAGACAGTTGCTAACCAGTTCACTATCTTGTTGACCTCATGCTGAATTTGGAGGGAAGATGGCCGCTGCCATAGCATGGGGATCCAGGAACCAGGGAGGGTGATCTTCCTGGAGGTCAGTGGCTCTCAAACTTGGGGGGGGGTGTTGCTGAAGCACCTTTAGATGAGGCCAAACACCCCACATTCCTCATTGGCTGACATGTTCTCACTTTTCGGTGGAGAAAGAACCAAAACTTCATTAACGTTTTGGAAGAGAAGCGTCCTCATGTTTCTCAGCGATAGGCTTTGCACGATTCATATTTGACTTGCAGTATATGCATGGCTTAAAGTCTTAATTACTGGAACATAAGAGGCCCAAGCTAATGTTACGGTTGTGGGAAACTATCCAGTATAAGGTTAAACAGATTACAAGCAAGTAATATTGAAGCTAAACTCACCACGCTGATAAATTAAAAGCAAGATTTGTAGCCATTAAGAAAATACAGCAAATGAAACTTCTGTAAGACAATCTAAATGATGCAGTAATAAAGTATCCTTCCTGAAAACTAGGCATTTCTACCATCTGAGTTTCTATTTTAGGTTATGAACTCCAAAATGGACTAACCTCCCAATAATTTATAATGGGTAGTCTTAAACCTAAGTTAAAATAGAGTCTATGGATTGGGGTTTTGTTCATCTGTGAGAACTGATATAAAGGAAAGGCTGATCTTTGAGTCAGTTCAAATCTATTGAATGTGTTTTGGTTCTCGTAATCATGGAAATGAAGGAATGAAGATAAACACATGTAAACCAGTTTGCTTAATTTCATGTTACATATGTTTTTGTTACTCCTGGGTATCTTGTGTCTTTTTTTTTTAAGATTTTTTTTATTCATTTGTGAGAGAGCATGAGGTGGGGGGAGGGGCAGAGGGAGAGGGAGAAGCCAACTCCCAGATGCGGGGCTCATCCCAGGACCCTGAGATCATGACCTGAGCTGAAGACAGATGCTTAACTGACTGAGCCATCCAGGCATTCCTCTCAGTATCTTAATAGAGTCTTTTTTCCCTCTTTTAAGAAAAGGCTTTATGTGTAATAGACACTTAATCAAATGAGAGTTGGGCCTGGCTTCTGCAGGAGAAGCCTAGTTTTCAGCCAGAGACAAGCAGAGGATTATGGGAGACATCATCCACAAGGTCAAAGGGCTGCAGAGCTTCCTGAGGCCAATGTGCTGACACTACATCCTACCCAGTGGATTGGCAGGACTGAGGTGACTGACATAAATTACTGTACCCTTCATATGACACTCTTGTGGAGATGGGTACTTGGGAATACTGAAGTCCACTGAACCTGCTGGGCAATTTTTATTCTTGTCATAGGTGACCTTCACGGTAGCCTTTCAAGAGAGCTTTCCCATTTCACTTTTTTTTCCCCATGTCGATGTCTACTTGTTCCAGCACTATTTGTTGAAACACTACCTTTTCTCCATGATATGGCCTTTGCTTCCATGACAAAAATCAGTTGACTGTATTTATGTGGGGTCTATTTCTGGGTTCTCTGTTCTGTTCTATTGATCTACTTGTTTTTTCACCACTACGGTATACACTGTCTTTGTTTTTGTTTTGTTTTGTTTTGTTTTTTACATTTTATTTATTTATTGGAGAGAGAGAGTGACACAGAGCATGAGTGAGCACAAGCTGGTAGGAAAGGGAGAAGCAGGCTCCCCGCTGAGCAGGGAGCCTGACGCGGGGCTCGATCCCAGGACCCCGAGATCATGACCTGAGCCAAAGGCAGATGCTTAACTGAGCCACCCAGGCTCCCTACACTGTCTTGATTACTATAGCTTTATAATAAGTCGTCTTTTTTTAAAGATTATTTATTTATTTGAGAGAGAGAATGAGATAGAGAGCATGAGAGGGGAGAGGGTTAGAGGGAGAAGCAGACTCCCTGCTGAGCAGGGAGCCCGATGTGGGACTCGATCCCGGGACTCCAGGATCATGAGTCTGAGCCGATCCAGCCTGAGCCGAAGGCAGTAGCTTAACCAACTGAGCCACCCAGGCGCCCTGTTTAGCACTTTTTAAAAAGTTTTTATTTAAGTAATCTCTACACCCAACATGAGGCTGAAACTCATGACCCCGAGATCAAGAATCACATGCTCTTCTGACAGCCAAGAGTCCCTCAACACTTTATTATAAAATTGTCCCTGTGTGAGATAATTTTGCCCAAGTGTAGGCTAATGTAAGTGTTCTGGGCATGCTGAAGGTAGGCTAGACTTAGCTATTGTGTTTGCTAGGTTAGGTGAGTTAAATGAATTTTTGATTGGGATGCCTGGGTGGCTCAGTCATTAAATGTCTGCCTTCGGCTCAGGTCATGATCCCAGGGTCCTGGGATGGAGCCCCACATAGGGCTCCCTGCTCTGCAGGAAGCCTGATTCTCCCTCTCCCGCCACTGCCCCCCCCACCTTGTGTTCCCTCTCTGGCTGTCTCTCTGTCAAATAAATCAAATCTTTTAAAAAAATGAATTTTTGATCAAAACCACAATAAGAGGACGTCTAAGTGGCTGAATTGGTTAAGCGTCTGCCTTCAGCTCAGGTCATGATCCTGGGATGGAGTCCCCACATTGGGCTCCTTGCTCAGTAGGGAGCCTGCTTCTCCCTCTGCCTGCTCTGCCTGCCGCTCCCCCTTCCTGTGCACTCTCTCTCTCTGACAAATAAACAAATAAAATCTTAAGAAAAAAACAAAACTACAACGAGATACCACCTCATACTGGTCAGAATGGCTAAAATTAGTAAGTCAGGAAACAACATATGTTGGTGAGGATGTGGAGAAAGGGGAACCCTCCTACACTGTTGGTGGGAATGCAAGCTGGTGCAGCCACTCTGGAAAACAGTATGGAGGTTCCTCAAAAAGTTGCAAATAGAGCTACCCTATGACCCAGCAATTGCACTAGGTATCAGCCCCGGAGATACAAACATAGTATCTGAAGGGGCACATGCACCCCAATGTTCATAGCAGCAATGTCCACAATAGCCAAACCGTGGAAAGGGCAGAGATGTCCATCGACAGACGAATGGATAAAGAAGATGTGGTATATATGTACAATAGAATATTACTCAGCCATCAAAAAAAATGAAATCTTGCCATTTGCAACAACGTGGATGGAACTAGGGGGTATTGTGCTAGGTGAAATAAGTCAATCAGAGAAAGACAATTATCATATGACTTCACTGACATGTGGAATTTAAGAAACAAAACAGAGGCTCATAGAGGAAGAGAGGAATAAATAAAACGATGAAATCAGAGAGGGAGAAAAACCATAAGAGACTCTTAATCATAGGAAACAAATTGAGGGTTGCTGGAGGGGAGAAAGATGAGGGGATGGGGTAACTGGGGGATGGACATTTAAAAAAAAGACTTAAAAAAAAAGCAAAAAAATGTGTTTTTGACTTAACAGTATCTTCAAATTGTGATGGGCTTACTGAGACATAACCCTATTGTAAGCTAAGGAAGATCTATAGAAGAAAGTGATTGACTTATATATTAACCTTGTATCCTACAACCTTGCTATAATAGTTCGTTGTTAGTTTCAGGAAATTTGTTGTTGATTCTTTGGATTTTCTGCATAGACGATCATGCCATCTGTCAACAAACCCAGTTTTATTTCTCCCTTCCCAATCTGTATACCATTTATTATTTTTTTTTTCTGTCTTAGTGCATCAGCTCCGACTTCTAGTAGGATGTTGAAAAGTGGTGAGAGGGGACATCCTTGCCTTAATCCTGATCTTAGCAAGAAAGCTTCTAGTTTCTCACTATGATGTTAGATGTGGGGTTTTTTGTAGGCATTCTTTATCAAGTTGAAGTTCTCTATTCCTCGTTCACTAAGAGGGTTTTTTTTTTAAATTATGAATGGGTGTTGGATTTTGTCAAATACTTTCTCTGCATCTATCGATATGATCATGTGGTTTTTTCCTTTTTAGCCTGTTGATATTGATGGTTTATGTTAATTGATTTTAAAATGTTGGATTAGCCTTGTGTACCTGGGGTAAATCCCACTTAGTTGCGGTATATTGTTCTTTTTATACATTGTGGATTTGATTTGCTAATATTTTGTTGAGGATTTTTACATGTATGTCATGATAGATGATGATCTGTAGTTTTCTTTCTTGTAATATTATTGTTTGTTTTGGTGTTAGGGTAATACTGGCCT